TGATCGTGTGTACAACGTCTCTTTATGTCTGTCTCCACGTTGGTTGAGTGTGGAGTAAGTGCATATGAGAGCATGAGGGTGGGAATGGATGTTTGTATCTGTGTGTGCCTGTATGTCTGTGTCAGATTCAGATAATTATTTAATAAAAGCGAGACATTTTAAATGAGAATAAGAAAGAAAAGTATTTCTTTGTGCCCCCCTCTCCCTGTTAATGCCCTTCCTGGCCCTCTGGCAAAGCTTTGCTAGGCCCGCCCCTGCACAGTTACCAGCTGTCAGCTATTTATAAAAGGATCCTGGTGTTATTTGTCTCTCAAAAACAGTTCATAACTTCCCTTCAACTCATTCATATCACCTAAAAAGTAAACCTGTTTCTCCATCACCTGTTCAGCTCTGATGATTCAGTAAGGACATCTCCTGGTTTCATCTTCATGTTTTCCTCTCCCCAGATAACCAAACCGACATAATGACCAGCAGCTTTTACAGCTGTGGCTCCAGGAAACATCAGCTGATCAAGCTTAAACGTGCTGCTGTTTGTTGTTTAGCACGACAACCGCTGGTTTCCTCTTTCTGGCGCAAAGTGGGCGATAAACAAGCAAGAGAGAAAAGCCGATCAGCTGATCATTGATCAGTTTCATGACTGAATGAGAGAAGAAGAAACAGCTGACAGCGTAAAGACAGAGAAAAACTCCAGCTTTGTGTCTTTTTCCATTCTAGCTGAAGTATGGGACAAACTGTGTTCCTTTTCACCTCAATGCAAAACGCGTGACATTTTCTATGAATACGGGACAATTCCGTTTTTTACGGGACCGTTGGCAACTCTACTAACTAACCTTATGAATAAAATAAAGTTCACTATCAGTAACATAGCACCCACCCAGCTGTAGAAACTCCGTCATGCTAGCTAGTACGCAGTACAAGTTATTGTAACTGACGGTAAAAACTCAGCACAACGAAAATAAACTACACCTAAACTTGGTTTATATCTGACCCAGATAGATTGCTGGTCATAACTTCTTACCTGAAGTTCAGTTCACCTGACACATGGACCGGCGGCCGCCTCGGGTCTCTGCTCCTCCTGCCTCCCCTTTCCCTCATCCACCTGGCCTCTTGTGGCAGCTCTGCCATAGCCACCACAAAACAACTGAGTTATTTTTACACATCTGCCAGCATCTGGCCAATCCATCACCTTTCATTGTTTATACTGTTATAAAAAAAAAAAAATCATCGGCCCATAAAAACGAAAATTCACCATCGGCACACCGGGCGAATGCCCGGTATGCCCGATGGCCAGTCCAGCTATGGATGAAATGCAGGTTTGGTAGAGGCTATAAATACACACAGCCGCTCTATCACGTGAGCACACTGCTCCAATGTGCTACGGTTATGAGCCGAGTTACGCCGTGTCGCAAGTTTTCTGAGGTGCTTTTTTGATATATAATGGATCGATTACATTTTTTATTTCTCTCCAACATCAGATCCAGCAATTTACGTCAGTATTGGACCGATACGATACGTAATATCAGATCGGTCCATCTCTACTTATTAGTGGAGCTAATGTGGCTGTAATTAAGGAATTTAATTTAAGACAGCACTACGAGACAAAACGTCAGGATATGCAGAGCAGAAACTACAGAAAGTAGAAGAGCTAAAGAAAAATCTGACATTTCAGCAGAGCAAACTCACAAAGTGAAGCTGTTGTGAAAGCAAGTTTTATTGTAGCAGAGGAGCCAAAGGTACCACTCTGAAGAGCTGCATGATGAAGCTGTGCGACGTCTTGTGTCCAGACAAAACGCAGATTTTGGCAAATGTGAGCCTGAGGAGAAATACGATTGCTGATCGGGTTTGTGAGATGGCCACTGATTTAAGAACACAGTTGTGTGAAAGAAGCAAAAGCTTTATTGCATACTCTCTTGCTGTGGATGAAAGTACAGACATGATGGACATTGCACAGCTGACCATCTTCATCCGTGGAGAGGAAATATTGAACATTAAATCGATGCATGGGACAACAACAGGAAAAGACATTTTTGAAAACATATGTCAAAGTGTAACCGACATGAAACTACCATGGGACAAACTTGTTGGACTTACAACAGATGGAGCGCCGGTGTTGTGCGATGAAAAAAGCGGACTAGTCAGCAGGATGCAAGTAAAGATGCAGGAGGAGAACTGTACCGGTGAGTTAACAGCATACTGCATCACACACCAGGAAAGGCTGTGTGGTAAAGTCCTAAAAATGGAGCATGTAATGATCTCCGTAACGAAAACCGTAAATTTTATCTGAGCTAAAAGTTTAAATCACCGTCAATTTCAGTCTTTTATGTGGGAAATAGATTCAGAATTTGCCGACATTCCTTATCATACTGACGTCCGTTGGCTGAGTTGGGATAAAAATTCTCAATAGAGTTTTTAAGCTCAGCAAGGAAATCTGTCAGTTCGTGGACATGTATGATGTGGTGAAGGCATTTCAAGTGAAGCTGTCACAAACGCACCAGTGCAACCTGCCTTACCTTCCCTGTTGCCAAGCAATGTTGAACCAAGTCAGCGGACTTTGCTGAACTGCACCTGTGCAGATTCAGATGGAGCTGCAGTGTAATGATAGACTCAAGGGAAAGTATGACACTGAATGGCCCACACAGTTTATTAGTTCCATTCCTGAAGCAATGCCCCAGCTCCATCTACATGCGGCTCGAACCTTGTGTATTTTTTCTGGGGTTTTTGGCCATGTGTTCATATTTCTAACTTGCCTGATTTTGACAGAATATTTAAAGTTAAAGTTTTTTTTTAAAGTTTATTTAATCTGGAATAATATTCCTGTCCATTTTTATTCATATTTATGTTTAAAAAACATTGTTTTAATTTGTTCAATAAATCTTTATCTTCTATATAATCTATTCATTCACTAGTTTGGTAAACTGTCGTCCAATTTAGAGACTCGAGGAAGTCTGAATCACTGTATCACAGCACAGTATCTTATTTTATTTTTAGTCATTTATTTCAGTTTTTGTTGCACTAACTGAAATAAATTTATGATGTTTTGAATATGAATCTTAACCAAGCAAGTATTGAAAAATAACAGAACCAGGACAATGAGGAACGCGAAAGGTGACCTTCCGCGTTGTTATGGCACGCGCCGGGTTATGGATTAAATCCAGTGGAATTACGCTCCCGCAGTAATAGACGTTCCAGCCCTGTATTGCAGCCCTAAACCATAACCTTATCCCTAAGCCTAACCATAACCTTATTTCTAACTGTAACCAGCACTTTAATGACGTGAAATAGTGTTTTCCCAAGCGATTTTAAGGAAAAGAGCAAACATGTGTAGATTGAGTCGAAACGGTTCTCACATGTCCTCAGTTTTCCGATGTCATCATGTAGGAATGTGTTGGGTGCCCGAAAACGTAATATGTTGACGATTTGTCACCTAGCGTAGAATGTTACGCTTTGGGAGTGAGAACGTGTTGTAGAAAGGTATAGTAATCATCCACAACTATTTTCAGTTGCGGATGAGAAAGGATTCAGAAAGTTTATTCATGCAGGCCCATATGACAGAGAATATGCATGTTCTTTTTGTTTTCATATTTTAATTTATATTTAATTGTGTTGTGGTTTGTAGTGTTTTATGTTGTTTAATTTTAAATTTGTTTAAAAGGAAAAAGCTGAAAATGTAAATAGTTAAAAGTTGAAATGTGACTAGTTGGTTTTTGTATTATATGATTTATTTATTACATTTTATGTGGAGTGAATAAATAAAAGTATATTTACGGTGGCCCCTAGAGACAGAGCACATACAAACTTCAAAACACGTACAAACCCTGAAGCACGTAAATCTCCAAAACACGTACAAAACACAACAGAAGTGCTCCAGAATGCTAGGTGCAGTGTTGAGCTTTTGTTACCTAGTGGCTACACAAGCCAGCAAGTACCAACGACCGGATTTGGTGTGTGGTAGTAACAGGTAAATGAAAATTTTTTGTTTAATTATTTGAATATATATGAGTGCTTGTGTATAAATACACAAACCATACACAAATGCTTTCAATTGTGTAATTTAAGTGATCTAGGTAGCTCTGTTTTGGAAGTTCAGTTAACTCTAGGAATGTGTTTTGGAATTTGTATGTGCTTTTTGGAGTTTGTACGTGCTTTGTCTCTAGGGGCCACCACATATATTTATATATAAACATATATAAATAAAACCACATTTTTTTACATTAGTACGGTAACTCCTTTTGTGCATAATTTTATATTATTGTTTAAAATAAATAAATTAAAGCAACAAAACAACCTGAAGAGCCGGTTCAGAGCTGAAAGAGCCGGCTCTTTTTAGTGAGCCGAGCCTAAAGATCTGGTTCTCTAAAAAGAGCTGGAAATCCCATCACTAGAAGGAACAATCAGACCCCCAAAACATCAGCTATTTTATGTAAGAACGTGAAAGCTGTCCAGATTTGATGATTTCTAGAGAACTTGTTCACCAGATCTTTTTGAATAATAGCCCTAACTAATCAATATTTGATGTGTCTTTGAGTTGGCCTGGGTTGTGGGTTTTTGTTTTTGTTTATATAACATAAATCTGGCAGTCGGAGTGATGCTATGAATCAAAATCCCGGCAGCTGATAATGCTGACTTACAATCTATCTACTATTATCCCTATGGTAGTGGTAAATCTCAAGTATTCCCAAGATTACATGTAAATTGCCTCTGAAACTTCATTCTGTGTCTAATGCAGAATCAGAATGAGTCCTTCCTCCTAGGTGCTCAAGCAGAAGGACTGGTTGGAGGTTTAACTACTTGATGGTCACTGATGGTGCCTCAGGAAGTTGGGTAGTGTGTTTAGCAGCAGAGCAGAGCTTCGGGTCACGTCAGCTCACAGGTGAATCTCAGCAGTAGAATGGTGGATAATGTGAAGGAGTGCCGACCGACTGCTGTGTTGATGGCTGCACACAAACAAGACAAAATTCAAATGCTGATGTAACAACCTCCTATCCAAGCATGTGGTATTTGTACTGTCAACCAGCCAGTTTGTCCTGTTATCTATCAATCCAGTACATGTGTGTGTGTGTGTGTGTGTGTGTGTGTGTGTGTGTGTGTGCGCGCGCAAAACTCCAAAGTTTGAAAATGATCACAAATACATCAAAGTGTCACACTGACAAACACACTGTCCTTTCTTCTAACTACACACCTGGTGCATAAATACTATATAAATAAATAAAAACTGCAAACAGTTTCAAAAATAAACCTTGTACTGTAAATACTTTTGACACATTGATTCATCACTTAATTCAATGCCTTTAACTGTTTTCTATCATGAATTTGCAATTTGGGATTCAGTATCTTCACTCAGGGCACTGTGGACTGGAAGAGCCAGTGACTGAGCCACCAACCTTTGAGTAGCAGATGACCTGCCCTACCTCCTGGAGGTAATCAGATTATGTGTAGTTATTAAAATGTGCTGGGAACTCCCAAAAAGCCCACACCTTGAGGTCACTCTCTTTTTATACTTCTTGTTTTTCTTTTAGACTCGTGCAAAGTTGCCACCGTCACAGTTGTAGCTGTACTGAAACTGACGTACCAATGTAATGTTCTTTTCCTCTCTTCAGTCTTGGGTTGTCTGTAAAAACACAAGATTCGCTTTGAAAAGACCGAAAGCATTGACTGATCAGAACTAATCCCTACACAAACAACTCACCAAACACGATCAGGCGGGTGTGGGTATCTGTGGAGCCCAGAGGATTCTGGGCTGTGCAGCGAAACATGGAGCCATTGAGCTCAGCAGGGACTCTCTCCAGGATGAGTTCCCTTCCGTTATGGACTGCTCTGCCATCGAGCAGATCCCCACCAACCTTGGTCCAAGTGAACATTGGCTCAGGGAAGACTTCACTCTGTGGACACACAGGTGTGTGAGCATGAGAAGCATTTAAAATTTTATGCCATTGAAACTGTCACAGCTATCCAACAGAAGTACTACAAGTTCAGATTTTTAAACTTCACAATGATTTTTAGAGTCTCTGTGTTGAATACTCACTGCAGAAGGTCCCAGCTGGAAGCCCTGGACAGTGATCCGCACTGTATCTCCCACTTTGGCTTTACTGGGACTCATGGACAGCTTAGGTCCTCTGGGAGCAGCTAAGAGGAAAAATGTAAAAATAACACACTGGACACTGAACACATGTGACTGGATTTAAAAACAACTCTGTTTGCATGTTAGCTCAGCCAGTTAGTGAATGACTCACCCAATGTGACCTCAGCTTGCATGGGCATGGATAGAGCTGGGTGGTTGACCTCACAGCTGAATAGAGCCTCATTGTCAAGCTGGGGGTTGAGGCTCCAGGTTAGCATGGCTCTAACCTCCATGGTGCCATCGCCTGCTGCCTGCTGCCGGTGATAGAAGTAATAGAGAGGGTCAGTAGTCTGAACCCAGCGGGGAAATTCCCTGCTCACTATTGTCTCAGGGATAATCTCAGTGGTTTCCTCAGGATTCAGTTCGGACTCTTCTTCTTGGCCCTGAGAGTCAACAGGTCCATTATGGTCTAGCCTGGCCTGCTTCTCCTCTTGCTCCAGCAGGGTCCTCTGGAGTTTGGTGTCATCAACATCTCGACTGGTCAACACCTGGGTACTCCAAAGCCCTGCCTGGTTCATAGTCCAGCTCTTTTTGTGACCTGGGCTCTTACTTTGAACTCCTACTGAAGAAAAAGACTGGGCTGTTGGCACAACATCAATAAGCTCACCATCTCTCTTGAAGTATACCTAAACAGCAGAGAGAGAAAAACTTAGCTCACTAGGCATTTTGAAGACATTTAATCATAAGTCAAGTTCAGCTGGAGAACTCCATTGTGTGTGTTAAAGTTAGTAGGATAGCGCAGAAATGTGAGTCTCATCCACAGCTGTAAAATTTTTAAAAATGCTGGCAGCCACCAGTGCTACCCCTCAGGCTCCTCCTCCATAGATCTATGGTTTAAATCTGAAATCTTCCAGGTGATTTTCAGAAAAGTTGACCTTTGACCTTGACCTTGAAGTTGAGGTCACTGAGATTTTTAGTATTTGCACCTGTGCTATTAATTCATTTGGAAGTCCATGCCGCCTGTTTTCCCACCCGCCCAGTAGATAATAATAACTCAGCCTTTTACGGCTAAGCAGCAACCAGGAAAATCAAATAATCGTCAGGTTGTAATTTTTACAAGTCTATGATATAGACACCAACTTGGACATTATCAAGGTTATTGGCAGTTGCACTTGCTCCTGTTGTCTTCACTGATAGCAGACACTTCTCAGGGGTTGGTAGTGCTAAGACAACTTTACATACAGGATTTGTTCCCCGTGTGGCAACATGTTTAGATTTATCTTTGTTTTTAGTCATTTAGGTTTAGGCATCCAAACAGGCTTACAGTGCAGAAGGGGGAAATGAAATAGGAACAGGGTGAATAACAAAATCTAACCATCCTTTCAGTGTACATAAGAGCTTTTGCATTTTGCTATAAGATGGGTCTGCATTGTTCTTGCTCTATCGCTTTTTTATTTTGTAGTGGCATTTTCAGCAAGAATTGTATCCATCTATTTAATTCTGCTTATCTAGTTCAGGGTCACTGCCTGGGATAGGGCTGAAACTATCTCTGCTGAGGGGGAGGGAGGGAGGGTAGCCAGAATTATGTTTCTAAAATGACATTGCCTCTAATTCTGTTGGCTGCATAAGTGGAAAACACGAAAGCATACTGTAAATAAAGGAGCTGTCACTGCACTGCTGATTGTTGGAGTTTTCCTGCTTACAGCCACATAATATTCTCCAATATTAATTCCCAATGCAATAAATTCCCAATTCCAATGTTCAAAAGAGGTCATCCAGGGTACAGAACACAGTTTTAAATAGCTTTTTTGCTTCCAAATTTCCAACTGCTGTAGGGTGCATCAAGTAGGGGTTATTGCTCTTTTTGTGTGAGCACCAACCAAATCCAGCAGTGCACACTAAATTAATTCTGCAGTGAAAGAAAGGACACAGTTTTCAACTCTATCAGGAAAATATTTGAGTTGTTTCCATATTCATAAATAGGCTGATGATCAACAATTAAGTTATCCTTCCTCACATACTTAGCAGTGATGTAAATACCAAATCTTTCAAGAGAGATAAAGACATAAAAATTCTCCATCTCACCATGGGAGCTGGTTTTGCTCCTGTAACAATGCAAACCAGAGTGAAGTTTTGAGCCTCGTAGCGGCTGAATGGAGCTGGGCTGTTGGCCACCACCACAGAGATAGACTTTGGAGGTACTGGAGAGAAAATACAATGACCAAGGCAGTCAAAGAGGAAGGTGCTTTCATTTCATTGAAGGTGTGTTTAATGAAGCTGAGCTGACACTGGAGTGCAAAGACCTTAAAGAGCAAAAATTTCAAAACATTACAATAATGTTTTTTTACTATTTTTACAACTTATTACCCCAGTGTAATGAATTCTTCCTGTAAAATATACACCAATGGCAAATTATAACCAAACTATAGCTATAATGAAATACTTTACAATACTTCCATAAATTACTACAGAATTTAGTAAAAGATATACATGGTGCCAAGAGAAAACCACTGATACAGCCAGAGATGTTCATGGGACAACATGAGTATGAATACATACCTATGACAGTGAGGGTGATACTGCTAGAGGCTAGAATAACTTTGTCTTTGGAATTTCTGTCATAAATCCCTACATGGCACTCATACAGGCCATCATCCTCCATGTGAACTTCTGGAAGTCTGTTCATGCAAAGAATGATTTTTATTAACAACTCAGATTTTCTGTGGAAAATTATCATAGAGCATAACAAAAACACTATTTCAGTGTACTAGTCTCACCGAACTGTTGACTGGTATACTAGGTCCTCCCGTTTGCGGTTGTCCTCCATGTTGGAGTAGCTAGTGTTGTACATGGCATTATAGCTGAAAATCTTTTGCTTGGCACTGGCTCCTTCAATAATCTGCCAGGGAGAAGTACATTAGAATTAGAATCAATTGAACTAGAGGAGGCGGACCATATAGATACAGTGGGGCAAAAAAGTATTTAGTCAGCCACCGATTGTGCAAGTTCCCCCACCTAAAATGATGACAGAGGTCAGTAATTTGCACCAGAGG